GGTCCAGGCGAGAGATGGACGTCTTGCTCTGTTCTCTACTCTGTCAAGCAGTCGCAGATGAGAGGGGGGGGCAGGCAAACCAAGAAAGTGGAGCATACTCAAGGTGTGAGTGTACTTGCGCCTCGTACAGGATCTTGCAACCCCTACTGTCAAGCAGATGCGAGATACAGTGAAGTGCTGTAAGCTTCCTGGCTGCCTTGTTTGCAAGATTTACAACATGGTTCTTCATGGTTAGTTTGGAGTCAGATTTCACCCCAAGCATATTATCAACTTCTTCTCCAGGTGCCAACACCCTCCCATTCATCTGTGTGTGTGTGTGTGTGTGTGGTGTGTGTGTGTGTGTGTGTGTGTGTGTGTGTGTATGTGTGTGTGTATGTGTGTATGTGTGTATGTGTCAAAAGTTTATCCTTACATTTTTGGTCAGTTTTACTCACATCAGCAATACCTAGACATTTACAGGACACATAATCAATAGGCCTGCCATTGACCTTTAATTTTGATGGTTCACTTTTACTGTTACCAATATGACTTTTTTTTCTTCAGTCCTCTACAGCATCTTCATTAAAAATTTGTTTATGCATTTTAGTCAGTTTCATTTTTGGAGACAGATGGGTAATTTCATATTTCTGAAATAAGGCAGGGAAGTTGCATGAAGATCTGTACATGATATTTTATAAGAACAATGAAAAATGCTACATGTGATGTAATTGAAAGTAGAATAAGAGACCATATTATTAATTATTGAAATACCTTAGGTTCAGGTAAACTCCAGGCAGAGGCACAGCCAGAATTTCAGTCTGTGAGGGGCTTAAATAATAAAATCTTGAAAAAAAAAAAGGGAATCATTTGTGAAAACATACTGTATGGTATGTTAACCAATATGTATGTGAAGTTTCTTAAACTATGTATTATGCTTATGTGGTTGCTTCTCTATATATTGCCATGAAAATTAGCCATTGCAGTTATCCTTGAGTTATCATAGTGCTGAGTTATGATAATTTTAAGTTATGAGTTAACCTCATAAAGGAATTTAATTTTGTATTGTGATGAAAAATTTGAGATATGATACACTATTGTGATTTAATTATGTCATCTTCTGTATTATCAAGTCATCATGGCCGCTAAAGTACTCGATGAACAGGCAATTTCTCTGAAGATCAAGCAAGAAATTGTGAATAAACAGGATGGAGTTAGAATTAGTACATTGGTGTATGAATATGGCTTTCCACAATCAACCATCTCTATTATTATCAAGCAAAAAGAAATTATGATACATATTACAGAGGCTGATTAATTTAAGCTGGTGGAAAAAAGCAGAGAAATTATCATAACGATGGAAAGACTATCATTATTGTGGATAAGAGAGAAGCAGATGAAGGGAGATGCTATGCCTGCAAGTTATATCTGTGAGTGTTGAAGTCCAAGGTACAGTAAAAGTTGCTCTTCTGGAGTCTTGGAACAAATTACCATAAAACCATGTATTTTGAGGTGTGAGTTACAATAGTTTTGAGGTATGATACATCTTCTGGTATGGATTAATATAGTAACTCAAGGAACCACTGCAACAGAAAAAATAAAGACAAAAGTTTTTGCATCTGAAAGGTTTATCCCCCTTAGGTACCCCCATGACTGTGCCATTGTGATACTGGACTGGAGAATTACTGTAGTACTGTATTGGTTTAGTAAGTTTGAATTTAGTCCCATTTCAGTATTCATTTCAAGTCCAATAAAAATCAAGTATATATGTATTGTCTCTGTTGTGTTCAGGATTCTTCCCAACTCTGCCTTCATACATACTTCTGGGAGTCATAAGGCTTTATCTGAATTCTTTGATAATGAAAAAAACTGGGGAGAGTCTGAGGTTAAGGTTGGCCGTGCTTGGAAATTAGATGAACTGCGAATCAAAAGCAATGAGGATCTTCATAAGCTATGGTATGTACTACATTAGTTGGCTAATTTTTTGGTTAGCCATTGTAAAGTTTATATATACAGTAGTTATTTATTATTATCTTGTATTAACAGTTATCTTGTGCAAATGTTTTTACTGGTTAGTAAAAAATTTGTCTGCATCAATAAACTATTGAGTTATATATCAGATACTTCATATATCAGTACACATATACGTGTTTACATTTCAGATACAGTGGACCCTCGACCAGCGGCTTTAATCCGTTCCAGAGAGCTAGCCTTTAGTCGAATTAGCCGTTAGCTGAATTAATTTTCCCCATTAGAAATAATGGTAATCCAATTAATCTGTTCCAGACAGCCAAAAGTATTAAAAAAAACAATGTTTTCTACATGAAATATACATTTCCCTACACAGAAAACAATGAGACATGCCTAATACAAACATGAATAAATACTAAAATGACACTTACCTTTATTGAAGAGTACTATTGAGTGATGAGACACTGTTTTTCTTGAAAACACTGGGATTTTCACAGTGATACATGAGTAAAGGCTTCACTTTGCAATCCCCACTAGCATTACAACAAAACATGAGAGTTAGCCTGTCTTTCATAGGCTTGTGTCCTGGTAGTGCCTTTTCCTCCTGAGTAATGAGTAATGTATGTCCTGTTTGGCATTTTCTTGCAGAACAGGCCTGTTTTGTCACAAACACTTGTTGGGGTTGGAATTTTTCACCTTTGCCATGCCTTATCACACTGTGTATGCCACTATGATTCTTAAATCTCTTAAACCAACTTTTGCTGGCCTTAAATTCACCAATATGAGCACTAGTTCCAGGCATTTTTTCCTGTTCACCTGGTGTTAGTCGACTGGTGTGGGTAGCATCCTGGAGGACAAGATTAAGGACCCCAGTGGAAATAAGTTAGACAGTCCTCGATGATGCACTGACTTTCTTGGGTTATCCTGGGTGGCTAACCCTCTGGGGTTAATTGTTTCTCTGTATTCTTGATCAACCACACCAACAACAGTCTCTGCACATCTTCTAGTACAGCTGACCATGGTGCAGCAACAGCTGACGGTGGTGCAGCAACAGCTGACCGTGGTACGATAGTACAGGTCTCCCTCAACATTCACGTTTTCAGCTTTCGCGGGCTTCACACATTCGCGAATTCCCAACCGCCAAATTTCCAGCCACCAAATCATATTCAAGTTTCCCGCCACCTGCGAGTCCCTACTACCTTCCCACCGACCCCCGCAACTGGCAGCTGGCCCTCCCACCACTCAGTGTGGTGAGTGTTTTGTTTGTTCATTATTTGCTATTAAACTACAGTATAAATAATGTAAACCCATTCATGACTGCATATTGGAATGGCTATTCGGACAGGTATTAGATGGTGACATCATGTGTTTACTCTTGAACCCAGCAAAGAATCAAACATTTCTGCTACTGCTAATAATAGCAATAATAATAATAATAATAATAATAATAATAATAAATAGGTTGGTAGTAGGTTGGTAGACAGCAACCACCCAGGGAAGTACTACCGTCCTGCCAGATGACTGTGAAACAGAAACCTGTAACTGTTTTGCATGATGGTAGGATTGCTGGTTTCTTTTTCTGTCTCATAAACACGCTAGATAACAGGGATATCTTGCTACTCCTACTTACACTTTGGTCACACTTCACAGACACGCACATGCATATATATATATACATACATCTAGGTTTTTCTCCTTTTTCTAAATAGCTCTTGTTCTTCTTTATTTCTCCTATTGTCCATGGGGAAGTGGAAAAGAATCTTTCCTCCATAAGCCATGCGTGTCGTATGAGGTGACTAAAATGCCGGGAGCAATGGGCTAGTAACCCCTTCTCCTGTAGACATTTACTAAAAAAGAGAAGAAGAAAAACTTTATAAAACTGGGATGCTTGAATGTGCGTGGATGTAGTGCGGATGACAAGAAACAGATGATTGCTGATGTTATGAATGAAAAGAAGTTGGATATCCTGGCCCTAAGCGAAACAAAGCTGAAGGGGGTAGGGGAGTTTTGGTGGGGGGAAATAAATGGGACTAAATCTGGAGTATCTGAGAGAGTTAGAGCAAAGGAAGGGGTAGCAGTAATGTTGAAGGATCAGTTATGGAAAGAGAAAAGAGAATATGAATGTGTAAATTCAAGAATTATGTGGCTTAATTAAAGTAAAGGTTGGATGCGAAAAGTGGGTCATAATAAGCGTGTATGCACCTGGAGAAGAGAGGAATGTAGAGGAGAGAGAGAGATTTTGGGAGATGTTAAGTGAATGTATAGGAGCCTTTGAACCAAGTGAGAGAATAATTGTGGTAGGGGACCTGAATGCTAAAGTAGGAGAAACTTTTAGAGAGGGTGTGGTAGGTAAGTTTGGGGTGCCAGGTGTAAATGAAAATGGGAGCCCTTTGAACTTTGTATAGAAAGGGGTTTAGTTATAGGTAATACATATTTTAAGAAAAAGAGGATAAATAAGTATACAAGATATGATGTAGGGCGAAATGACAGTAGTTTGTTGGATTATGTATTGGTAGATAAAAGACTGTTGAGTAGACTTCAGGATGTACATGTTTATAGAGGGGCCACAGATATATCAGATCACTTTCTAGTTGTAGCTACACTGAGAGTAAAAGGTAGATGGGATACAAGGAGAATAGAAGCATCAGGGAAGAGAGAGGTGAAGGTTTATAAACTAAAAGAGGAGGCAGTTAGGGTAAGATATAAACAGCTATTGGAGGATAGATGGGCTAATGAGAGCATAGACACTGGGGTCGAAGAAGTATGGGGTAGGTTTAAAAATGTAGTGTTGGAGTGTTCAGCAGAAGTTTGTGGTTACAGGAAGGTGGGTGCGGGAGGGAAGAGGAGCGATTGGTGGAATGATGATGTAAAGAGAGTAGTAAGGGAGAAAAAGTTAGCATATGAGAAGTTTTTACAAAGAAGAAGTGATGCAAGGAGGGAAGAGTATATGGAGAAAAAGAGAGAGGTTAAGAGAGTGGTGAAGCAATGTAAAAAGAGAGCAAATGAGAGAGTGGGTGAGATGTTATCAACAAATTTTGTTGGAAATAAGAAAAAGTTTTGGAGTGAGATTAACAAGTTAAGGAAGCCTAGAGAACAAATGGATTTGTCAGTTAAAAATAGGAGAGGAGAGTTATTAAATGGAGAGTTAGAGGTATTGGGAAGATGGAGGGAATATTTTGAGGAATTGTTAAATGTTGATGAAGATAGGGAAGCTGTGATTTCGTGTATAGGGCAAGGAGGAATAACATCTTCTAGGAGTGAGGAAGAGCCAGTTGTGAGCGTGGGGGAAGTTCGTGAGGCAGTAGGTAAAATGAAAGGGGTAAGGCAGCCGGGATTGATGGGATAAAGATAGAAATGTTAAAAGCAGGTGGGGATATAGTTTTGGAGTGGTTGGTGCTATTATTTAATAAATGTATGGAAGAAGGTAAGGTACCTAGGGATTGGCAGAGAGCATGCATAGTTCCTTTGTATAAAGGCAAAGGGGACAAAAGAGTGCAAAAAATATAGGGGGATAAGTTTGTTGAGTATACCTGGTAAAGTGTATGGTAGAGTTATTATTGAAAGAATTAAGAGTAAGACGGAGAATAGGATAGCAGATGAACAAGGAGGCTTTAGGAAAGGTAGGGGGTGTGTGGACCAGGTGTTTACAGTGAAACACATAAGTGAACAGTATTTAGATAAGGCTAAAGAGGTCTTTGTGGCATTTATGGATTTGGAAAAGGCGTATGACAGGGTGGATAGGGGGGCAATGTGGCATATGTTGCAGGTGTATGGTGTAGGAGGTAGGTTACTGAAAGCAGTGAAGAGTTTTTACTAGGATAGTGAGGCTCAAGTTAGAGTATGTAGGAAAGAGGGAAATTATTTCCCAGTAAAAGTAGGCCTTAGACAAGGATGTGTGATGTCACCGTGGTTGTTTAATATATTTATAGATGGGGTTGTAAGAGAAGTAAATGCGAGGGGTCTTGGCAAGAGGCGTGGAGTTAAAAGATAAAGAATCACACATAAAGTGGGAGTTGTCACAGTTGCTCTTTGCTGATGACACTGTGCTCTTGGGAGATTCTGAAGAGAAGTTGCAGAGATTGGTGGATGAATTTGGTAGGGTATGCAAAAGAAGAAAATTAAAAGTGAATACAGGAAAGAGTAAGGTTATGAGGATAAAAAGATTAGGTGATGAAAGATTGGATATCAGATTGGAGGGAGAGAGTATGGAGGAGGTGAATCTATTCAGATATTTGAGAGTGGACATGTCAGCGGATGGGTCTAGGAAAGATGAGGTGAATCATAGAATTGATGAGGGGGAAAGGGTGAGTGGTGCACTTAGGAGTCTTTGGAGACAAAGAACTTTGTCCTTGGAGGCGAAGAGGGGAATGTATGAGAGTATAGTTTTACCAACGCTCTTATATGGGTGTGAAGCATGGGTGATGAATGTTGCAGTGAGGAGAAGGCTGGAGGCAGTGGAGATGTCATGTCTGAGGGCAATGTGTGGTGTGAATATAATGCAGAGAATTCATAGTTTGGAAGTTAGGAGGAGGCGCAGGATTACCAAAACTGTTGTCCAGAGGGCTGAGGAAGGGTTGTTGAGGTGGTTCGGACATGTAGAGAGAATGGAGCGAAACAGAGTGACTTCAAGAGTGTATCAGTCTGTAGTGGAAGGAAGGCGGGATAGGGGTCGGCCTAGGAAAGGTTGGAGGGAGGGAGTAAAGGAGGTTTTGTGTGCGAGGGGCCTGGACTTCCAGCAGGCATGCGTGAGCATGTTTGATAGGAGTGAATGGAGACAAATGGTTTTTAATACTTGACGTGCTGTTGGAGTGTGAGCAAAGTAACATTTATGAAGGGGTTCAGGGAAACCGGCAGGCCGGACTTGAGTCCTGGAGATGGGAAGTACAGTGCCTGCACTCTGAAGGAGGGGTGTTAATGTTGCAGTTTAAAAACTGTAGTGTAAAGCACCCTTCTGGCAAGACAGTGATGGAGTGAATGATGGTGAAAGTTTTTCTTTTTCGGGCCACCCTGCCTTGGTGGGAATCGGCCAGTGTGATAATAAATAAAATAAATAAAATAAATACGATATAATTGAAGAAGGAAGTTGTTCAAAAATACGAGGGAGTGGTTGACACATCGTCAGTGTGGCTTTGTTTATGCTTGAGTGAACGTTAGTCTCCCTGCTCTTCCAAACATTTCACAATAATTCATTGTTTGGTGCTTGTAGATTGAGTGCGACTGGAGTGGTAGAGGCAGTGGTTGAGGCAGCGATTGAGGCAGCTGTTGAGGCAGCTGTTGAGGCAGCGATTGAGGCAGTGGTTGAGGCAGCGATTGAGGCAGTGGGTGAGGCAGCTGTTGAGGCTCCTGTTGAGGCAGCGATTGAGGCAGCGATTGAGGCAGTGGTTGAGGCAGCTGTTGAGGCAGCGATTGAGGCAGTGGGTGAGGCAGCTGTTGAGGCAGCGATTGAGGCAGTGGGTGAGGCAGCTGTTGAGGCAGCGATTGAGGCAGTGGTTGAGGCAGCTGTTGAGGCAGCAATTGAGGCAGTGGGTGAGGCAGCTGTTGAGGCAGCGATTGAGACATTGGTTGAGGCAACTGTTGAGGCAGTGGTTGAGGCAGCTGTTGAGGCAGCGATTGAGGCAGTGGGTGAGGCAGCTGTTGAGGCAGCGATTGAGGCAGTGGGTGAGGCAGCTGTTGAGGAAGCGATTGAGGCAGTGGTATTTAATAACATACATGTTATTAATAATAATAATACATGTTATTAATAATATGTACTATTATTATTTATAACATATATGTTATTAAACACCACAGCCTCAACCGCTGAATTATTGTGAAATGTTTGGAAGAGCAGGGAGACTAACGCTCACTCCAGCATAAACAAAGCCACACTGACGATGTGTCAACCACTCCCTCATATTTTTGTACAATTTCCTTCTTCAATTATATCGTATTATTATTATTATTATTATTATTATTATTATTACTAATGTTATTATTAGCAGTAGCAGAAATGTTTGATTCTTTGCTGTGTTCAAGAGTAAACACATGATGTCACTGTCTAATACCTGTCCGAATAGCCATTCCAATATGCAGTCATGAATGGGTTTACATTATTTATACTGTAGTTTAATAGCAAATAATGAACAAACAAAACACTCACCACACTGAGTGGTGGGAGGGCTGGCTGCCAGTTGCGGGGGTCGGTGGGAGGGTAGTAGGGACTCGCAGTGGTTGGGGAAGTGGTGGAGGCATTGGTGGAGGCAGTGGAGGAGTCTGTGGTATTTAAGCATAACATTCATATATTTAGTACAATTTATGATGTTTTCATGTATTTTATGATTGTTCATGGTTCAACAAGTTAAGGAAGCAGTATTGTATTATATTTCCCTACAATATATTGGGGCACCAAACATTCACGGTTTTTCAACATTCGCGAGGCTCTTGATCCCCTGACCCTCGCGAATGTTGAGGGAGACCTGTATTTCGATAGTATTTCTCACGCATTTTACCACAGGGTTAGCACTAGAAGCTTTCTTGGGGTCCATGGTGGCTTATTTAGCAGTTATAAGCACTAAAAATACTGGAATAATACAAAATATATCACAGGTACACATGAAATCTACCACAACGGCTTGTAAACATTGGCACACTGAGTCTTGGAGTGGCTGGGCCCTCTCAGGCCACGCTCTGGCCGCAGGGGCACGTTCAGGATGAAAGCTGTTAGATGAGTTTTTTGCCGTTGATAGAGCCATTTTTCTATACCAAAGAGCGCCATTAGACGAATTTGCCGTTAGTCGATGCTGCTGTTGGTAGGGGGTCCACTGTACTTCAGTTATACCTTATCAATATACCAACAGAATAACTTTCAGAGTACTTTTTCTTTTAAGACTTAATGCAGTAATTTTTGTTTAGATAATTTTCTTATACTATATTTGTTTCTAGTTTACGTATTGTTAAAATAAGGGTAATGGAAAGTTTTCATTTAGCTTTAATTTGTTCTTACCTTTTTTTTTTGGGGAGCAATTCATTGGTATTCAAACCATACCCCTGGCCGGGATTGAACCCGCGGTCATAGAGTCTCAAAACTCCAGCCCGTCGCGTTAGCCACTAGACCAGCTAGCCACAATAAGATTCATCCAACTAGGTATATTTCTACACCATAGGAAGGTTAGCACAGGCACCACTGTGACCACAAATGCAAGTTTTTTACAGACGAATCTCCAGCTAGCGTGGCCGTGATGAACTCTAGCTCAAGTCCCTTCACTGCCGTCAACATGACTCAAGAAATCGTAATGACACGATTGCAAACAAACCATACCCCCGGCTGGGATTGAACCCGCGGTCATAGAGTCTCAAAACTCCAGCCTGTCGTGTTAGCCACTAGACCAGCTAGCCACAATAAGATTCATCCAACTAGGTATATTTCTACACCATAGGAAGGTTAGCACAGGCACCACTGTGACCACAAATGCAAGTTTTTACAGACGAATCTCCAGCTAGCGTGGCTGTGACGAACTCTAGCTCAAGTCCCTTCACTGCCGTCAACATGACTCAAGAAATCGTGTCATTACGATTTCTTGAGTCATTGGTATTCAATTATATTTTACATTAAAAATGAAACTGTCATACGTACCACATGCACTACTGTCATAAAATCTTAGACGCCATAATGTGGATTGTTCATTTCAAATTATACTCGCTCCAGCAAATCCTGGTCATGAACCGGGCTGTGGGGGGACATTGTCCTCTGAAATACCCTCCAGGTATACCCCAAGTATGTAGACAAACAAAACAAGTCTGCAAGTAGAAATATTTCATAGGTAGCCCTACTTACCTTTGTTAGGAATGCTGGTATCTGTAAGAGCACTTCCATGGGGAGTAATAAAAAACACTCTCTTTGTCCATTAATGAGACTTAAATTTTGACTATGTATTTGCAAAGCATTAATAAATAGTTTTGCTTTGTATCCTCCTCCTCAAGGTGTTCCAGGTTTATTATTTATTATTTTAAGGATTTGGAGAAGATATCTTGGGAAGTTGTTGTGTAGGCAAGAAAAGTTCTCAGTGAAAGTACAGTACCAAAGATGTAAAAAATGTAATAAATTATTTTATTATTAATGTTCATCTGCTTTAACAGGTATGTACTGTTGAAGGAGAAAAATATGTTGTTGACGATGGAACATGCTGCACAGGAAGAAAACAGACTGTTTCCCAATCCAGAAAGAATTGATAAGGTTTGTAGAGTAGCTATTATCCAGGTCATTCATTTTCAAGATCAGAGAGAAAAAAAAAAGAGGTTGATCTAGCTTATTGTGAGAAAGTATTCTTTAAGAAATTTTAGTGTCACATTATGTATTCACCTGTCAAAGAAATGCTTTACACAGCTCAGTTATGGAAATACAGTACTGTATTGTCAACAAATTTCCATCCTATCTTCAAAGAGCAAGCCACTTTTTAAAATCAACCAACTGTAAAAGGATTCAGCTTTTCAGCTTGCTTTTTTTTTACTTTCCAGCCTGGGATTTGATCCTTTGACCTTGGTGATGAGGGCTGCAACTCTCATCACAAAAACTGTGGTACCTGTACGTAAGTGGTGAGAGGCACAGTCCTCATCATCCTGGCTTGGGATTTTCTAGGTTCTCAGGCTGAATCATCACCTGTCACAGCGAGTTTGATCAACAGGTCAAATCTTTGTGTAGTCTATTTTTTTTTTAACTCACGATCCACTATGCCATACAAAGTTCCAGTTTGTATTATATACAAAAATTATTACTTCTCAGTATTATGTTTACACATCAGAAACATACATTAGTATTAAGTATACAAGAAGAAATTACTGTATATTATCATGACTCATGAAATCATAAAAACACAATTGCAAACACATCACAGAATGAGTGAGGAGACCTGAGCTGCTATACATCACAGCCACACTGGTGTGGGATTTGTCTTTAAAAACCTGCATTTGTGGTCACATTGGAACCCATACTAACATTCCTATGGTTGTATAGATTTATACCTACAGTGGAACATCGGTTTTCATACGCCCCAGTTTTCATAGGATTCGGTTTTCGACGACTTTTTCCATCGAAATTTTGTCCCAGTTTTCGTACATCACCTTGGTTTTAGTAGAGTTGACAATGGTCTGTACCGAGCACGTCCGCCTACCCGCCCGCATCACTCAGGCACCAGATGATCCAGTCTGCCTTTGTTTATCGTTGAGTGAGCATCACCCCGCGCGTTCAGCCAGAACATTTTATTATAATCTATTGTTTTTTGTGTTTGTTTATTGAATGCAACTGCTAAATAAGCCACCATGGGGCCAAAGAAAGCTCCGAGTGCCAGCCCTTTGATAAAGAAGGCGAGAAACATGATAGAATTTAAAAAAAGAAGTCGTAGCTAAGTACGAAAATGACTCTCAAGCTGGACCTAGTGCCAGTAAAAGACAAAGAAGGGAAGTAACCTCTTATAGGGCCTTGATACCTGAAGGCCTTATGGAAGTTATTCCACTTCCAAACAATGACCTCGCCTCCCTCTCCCCTCCTCACCGTCTTCCATATGCCAAAAAAGAGTCTTCAATAAAGGTAAAAGTGCTGTTGAATGTTCATTTATCCATTTCATTAGTCATTTATATTTATTTTTCATTGTTTTCTGTATGTAAAACTATAGCTATTCTCTATAAAATGTATTTTTTGTTAATATTTTTGGGTATCTGGAATGGATTAATTGGATATACATTATTTCTTATTGGAAATATTGCTTCAGTTTTTGTACAATTCAGTTTTTATCAGACTTTCTGGAACGAATTAATCATGAAAACCGAAGTTCCACTGTATTTAGAAGAATCTTGTTAGGCAGCATGAACCAGTGGTTCACACACTGGCCTGTGAGGTTTAGCACTCACCTGCCATGGGTTCAAGCCCCTCCCATTCCCTGTACTGTATACCATCATCTGTCTCTTTTTTCCTTTCTCATCACAAAATCCTTCTTCATGGTACTTCCTTGTCTTCCAACTTCTGATCTGTTCTTAATCCTTTTCTTAATCAGTGTTTTTTATTTATGACAGCCCTTCTGTTATGATTTTTTATTCATGTATTATTATTTCAGGTTGAGGAAAGCATGAAAAACTTGGAGGATGTTGTGAAGGAAAGAAATCGGGCTTATTGGCTATTGGAAACTGGAGAAACAGGAGAAAGACCCAGTAGTTTGATTGAAGATGAATTAGGTAAACACTCAGCCACTGTACTCTTTATAATAATAGCAATAACTCATTCCAGCAGAAAAAGGAATATACAGGAAAAGCTTGTATTAATTGTGGAAGAGCTTCAGTACCTCAGCAGCCTGCTGAGACTCGCTTTGACATTTTTCATTGAATGGGTATAGATTGTCTTCATGCGATCTTGTTCGTAATGTATCATTTGCCATTGAATGATTTTACATAAACTGGTTGGTTTGTTAGGCTCAGCCCATTAACACCCATACGCAGATCTACATTTTCATTACTAACACTCTGAATAATGTGATTTTTTTGTTTTAAATAGAGAGGGCAATTTTCTGTGTGTAATAAGACCAAAAAAAAAAAAGAAATTTTAGGGTCAGTACTTACCGAGATATAAGGCCACAAAGTTGGTGCTGGATGCTCACCTGACAGCAACATAGAGTCCTGCCGCTTGCAGAAGTGTTGCTGATACACCTTTCTTTCGCTTATTTTTTTTTTAATTTATATAATTTTTATGTTCTGATAATTACAATTTATAGTAGTTCTTGTGATTTTGTAGCCAATCTTTATTCTGACACTAATATTAGGTACTGAAATAGTACTCAAATAGTCACAAACACACTTGACAGGATAGGAGTGAATGGAGACGAATGGTACTTGGGACCTGACGATCTGTTGGAGTGGGAGCAGGGTAATATTTAGTGAAGGGATTCAGGGAAACCGGTTATTTTCATATAGTTGGACTTGAGTCCTGGAAATGGGAAGTACAATGCCTGCACTTTAAAGGAGGGGTTTGGGATATTGGCAGTTTGGAGGGATATGTTGTGTATCTTTATATGTGTATGCTTCTAAACTGTTGTATTCTGAGCACCTCTGCAAAAACAGTGATAATGTGTGAGTGTGGTGAAAGTGTTGAATTATGATGAAAGTATTTTCTTTTTGGGGATTTTCTTTCTTTTTTGGGTCACCCTGCCTCGGTGGGAGACGGCCGACTTGTTGAAAAAAAAAAAAATTACTGTGTAGGTTCCAGCAATATTTTAGGCACGCTGGAGTATATGAAACTCTTTGAAGCATGGTGTAAGACAAGTGTCACTCCACTGCTGACAGTTCAGCACTCTAATATTGATGATCGTCCACTGCTGCTGTGATCTCACAGTTACACAAACATGTCTGTCTGTTTGTCTATCTGTCTGTCTGTCTAGCTCTGTCTCTGTTTATCTCTGTCTCTGCTTATCTGTCTTTCTGTCTGTATGTGTGTGTCTATGTGCTTGTCTCTCTGTCTCTGTCTCAGAGAGCCACTCATGAACCAACATATTATTACACATGATGCAGAGTCGCCACGTCTGATTCCTGAACAAGTGACAGTGCGTGTTACTTCTCGGTCACGCTTTGTCTAGCACTTTGGATTTATTGGGTTATGCTAGGTAATTTACACTATGTATGATAACTGTACTTCTGTGTACAGGATAAGATAGAGACAGAGATAGACAGACACAGAGATAGAGAAAGAGATAACTGAGAAAAAGATAGAGACAGAGATAGACACAGATAGACAGACACAGACAGAGACACAGATAAAGACAGACAGACAAATAAGAGATAGCCTAAGTAAATTAGCCAGCCAGCAATCCACCCACCCAGCCAGTCAGCTAGTCGGCCAGCCAACCAGCAGCCCACCCACCCACCCAGCCAGTCAGCCAGCCGGCTAGCGAACCAGCCAGGTAGCCAACCGGCCGATCAGCTGAACACTTATTACACGTTCCAGAATTGTTTCTCTTTACTTAGAATATAGGTTATAGGACATTCTGGCAGGATGACACTAGCAGTGTAATCAAATTTGAAAGGATGTTGCACAAATGTTGCACATAGGTTATTATTGAGGTTTTTGATATTTCCTCAACCACATAGGGTTACATCCATTTCAGAGCCACTGAACTCGGGATCAGCATCACTTTCCTCTTAAAAGGGAGGTGTTAATACAACATCACATCAGCAAATCCCAGGTGTTTGCCATGCTGTTTGCTCTAGCTGGTGGTCAGTTGAACTGGTGCTCCCACAAGGTACTAAGTGGTCCCAGATTTTTTTAATAATTTGCACACTGAGTGTTAAGACCCATTCTATGTTGACCAGGCATCTCAGGCCAATTGTGCCAAATTTGAAGGCAGGAAAAACAAAATGTTGATCTACGTTTGGAGCGCTAGCAGTGAAAATGTAGATCTACATTTGGACAGTTAAGGGGTTAAAGACTATCTGTTGTACCAAGGTAATTGAGACTGCATTTCACTGGTATACCGGTCAAGAATTATTTAATATCTAAAATAGGGATTAAAGTAAATTCATTGTATGTACCAGTGTATGCACCAAGAACTAAACACTTCTCAGTGTATATATCCATTGTAAGATATGAGCAGGGCAAGGGAAAATGGAAGGATCACATGGTCCAGTAATTCCTTTCATAATAAAAATAATAGTAATAGGGCAAAACCTTGATGTAACGGACTAATAGGGAGAAGGGGGTGTCAACTTTAACCCTTTCGGGGTTAGTCCTTTAATACTGCACCAAAATTCTAGCAGCTTCCAATCTTGCGGGAGAAAGCTGGTAGGCCTACATATGAGAGAATGGGTCTGCAAGGTCAGTATGCACAGTATAAAAGAATCCTGCTACCATGCAGTGCATGAGAAAAAAAACCAACTCTGTTTTTGGTGTAAAACAGTGACTTTGTAGTGTATTTTTGTGTGGTTTTTATGGTTCTATTCTCGGTTTCCTGGTCTCATTTGATAGAATTGAAGATACATTACAGAAATAGAGATGATTTTGAATGGTTTACAGACTAAAAGTAGCTTGAAGCTGAGCTCAATGTAGTGGAAATGTTCGATTTTTGCTGATGTTCAAGACTGAACAAAACACGTCATGTGTCCAATACACGCCAACTGGTGGATCTAATATGCACTCATGAAATCACTGACATTATTTATACAATTATTACCATTATGCAGTAGTCTGAATAACAGTAAATGTTTTATTTTTTGTGTGAATAAAAATTCAAAATGTAAAGCAAGTGTGATATGAGGGGCCTGGAGATGTGAGTAATAAACAGAGAAAAATGTTATTTTAGTGCCAGGAATGTTTACAGTATTTATTCTGGACCCTGTTTTGAAATTGGCCTTCCGCACAACCAATTACAGTTGGTGTCCCACAGGGAAGTGTCCTTGGCCTTCTTCTCTTTCTCCTATACATAAATGACCTACCAAATGCTTCGCAATTACTCAAACCCACACTTTTTGCAGATGACACTACATACGTCTTCTCTCACCCGAGCCCAGTCACGCTAGCCAATACTGTAAACACCGAATTACAGAAAATATCTACCTGGATGAGGACTAACAAACTTACACTAAACATTGACAAAACCTACTTCATTCAGTTTGGTAACAGAGCTACAGATGTACCTCTTAACATAACAATAAACGGATCACCTATCACAAAACTAACAGAGGGAAAATTCCTAGGAATCCACCTCGATAATAGACTCAAATTTCATACACATATACAACAAATTTCTAAGAAAATCTCCAAGACTGTAGGCATACTATCGAAGATACGGTACTATGTTCCACAGTCAGCCCTCCTGGCCCTTTATCACTCTCTTATTTACCCCTATCTCACCTATGGAATTTGTGCATGGGGCTCAACAACAATTAACCATCTCAGACCACTAATTACCCAACAAAAGGCTGCAGTTAGAATGATAACAAATTCTCACTACAGGCAACACACTCCACCAATATTCAAAACACTCAACCTACTCACCATACAAAACATCCATACTTATTATTGCACCTATTACATACATAGAACACTTAACTCTGATATTAACCCTCCCCTCAAACATCTCCTTGCCAACCTCAACAGAACACATGACCATAACACAAGGCACAGATCACTCTTTGATGTTCCTCGTGTCCATCTCACGCTATGCAAAAACTCAATGCACATAAAAGGCCCTAAAATCTGGAATTCATTACCTGTAAATATAAAAGAAACACTACCTGTTCATAAATTCAAGTCTCTTCTCAAAGATCACTTACTCACTCAAAACCAAATAAATACTGAATAACTGAACCTTATAAATTGTATATCCTATATGTTACTCACAATTATATCACACAAATGTTAAACCTAGAACCCAATATAACTTTATTATTTTTTTAAATACACTACCTAACAGAATACTCCATCCGACTGAATGTACAGCAATGCAAGCAACCATATGACCTGTCTTTGTAATACTCATTTGTGCTTTATAGTTATCTGTTTACAATAATGTTTTATCACTGATTTCATCATTGCTTAGTTAATCTTAAGTTAATTTTAAGCCAGCCCGTAATGCTATGCATATAAGTGGCTTTGGCATGCTGCTCTTACCTGTATTTTTTGTACCTCTGTTTGTATGCTTAAAATACTAAATAAATAAATAAATAAATAAAGTTGAAATACATAAATGGGCAGTTTCTTGTACTCAGCCGATAGAATAAAAGGAGTTCTAGCTAAACAGCTATGAATTTGGTTGACTGGAGCAATAGAATTGGCCCAAAATAGGGCTCAAAGTGGGCAAAATCAATGATGCATAAATATCGCTGAGACTGCTAACTTCACGAGAGTTTTCCATCAAATTTTGTGCTTTGGGTTGCATTATCTTCGGAAAAATATTCTTTATCATTTCATAAGAAAAATAATAATTTTTTTTTTTTTTAAATTCTTCAACCCTGGGAACAAGTTTACAAGCAGGGGTCTCAACCCTCAAAGGGTTAATAAAAATCCGTTGTATGGAAGTGATCAATGCAACAGACCTCATCTTAAGTATCTTGACTGGTACAACCTCTTACAGGCTGCAGTAATCCAGGGAGGTGATATTAGTGGGTAGAAACATGGCCTTAATTTATCATCACTGCTGATAATTTTTTAATTCTTTGGGTAAACATATGCATTTTCAAGCAAGAGAAGA